AATCCTATTGGAAAATTCGCACACACGACCTGGTTTTTCAAAGATCTCCTGGAAAACGAAGTTAGGAAATTTTTCTGAAACTGACTTTCGCTTATGAAAAGATGTCTTAAAGTGTCCTCTTTCTAATACAGAAAACCGGACTTCATTATCTATCTCCCGCGAGGAGTTATTCAAAAAGCAACCGAGAGCCAACCGTTTTGAAACGGAGAGTAGTGCCTGTAGTTTATATAGAGCGTTTTCTCTTTCTTTTTGTTCATTCCTGAAGATGACAAGTGTCACTTGTCGAAAGCTCGAATAAACGGATGTGATTTTTGTCAAAAACAAAACTGATGTTTATTGCAGTCTTATACTCAAACAATCATGTTCTTTTAATTCTTTTATCGCCAGTTTATAGCGCGTTTCTCACTCTACAAAATCCAGTATAAACAACATCTTCACGATACTTTCTTACGAAGTTGATAAACTTTTTTCATCTCATGTCAGTAAATGGTCAAACTTTTTAAAAAATTATTTTTTGAGAAACGATCATAGTTCCAAACCCAAAATTATGTATGGTTAGATGTGCAATAAAATTCTCTATCGAACTTGCTATTCAGCTTTTTGATACTGTCAAATTTTTAAATTCGGCAGGGTCCTTAGGATGAAATGATATCTGATGGCTCATCCTCATACCATCCGCTGCTTTTCCCCTGTTCCACAACATAGATATATCAAACCTTTTTGAAAAATAGATCTCCCAATAATATTGTAAGTAAAGTATAACATATATACTAAACATATCAGAAAGAATTTTAATTTTTGATATTGTCAAACATTAATTGCGTTTAAAAAAGTCATCGTATTTCCTTGCTGATTTGTACTTTTTAAAATATTCTTATTTTTGGTTCGTTTGGTGGTAGTTATTGTACTTATAAGAATTTAAGAATAATTGTGGCTGTCATATTAAGACTTTTAATAGAAATTTTAATAAAAATAAAAATTTTAAAACTAAAACCAACGATTAAAATTACAATTTGATATTTCGACCTATTGATACGGTCATTTTCAAGTTGCTCTTCGTTCCAGAATGTTACTTAAAACTGAAAAAACAGTATAACTGACTATATCCGCCTAGAAAAAAGTAGTTGCACTCGATATTTTAATATGTCATCACTATAAAAATACATTTTAAAAAAAATAATTATATATTCTGATAGCGCTTGAAATTCTCTATCATTCGATATATTTATCTCTTGTCTTACATTTATTTGCTGAAAAATAAATTGAGCGTAATGACGCCCCCCCCTCCCCATTGCTTTTTATAAAAGTAATTATATGTTCTGATTGCGCTTGAAATTCGCTATCATCCTATATATTTATATCTTGTGTTGCGTTTATTTGCTGAAAAATAATTTGGGTGGTCCTAATTGACAAATACCAAAAAGCTGCATTTTTTCGCTTTTTCCACACCATCTGTACTAAAAGATTTTTTCACAGACCACGAGAAAGAGCACATTCAGACCCACAAAAAGAACTGACTTCTCACTTTTGCAACCCGTTTTTTTATGGAAATAACAGCAAAAGAAAAAGATTCAAGTGGAAAAAAATAACAGATTTTTAAAGTTTTCATTTTTTTCGTCTGTCGTATAATGTGCGTAGTTTTTTTGATTGAAGTTCTAAAATTAAAGTTTAGGTATGGTTTTGTAGAGCATTTCACGATGCATCTTTTTAAATAATATAAATTGATATTTATAAATGACCTAAATGCTTTAACATCCGCCTCACACAGCAAGTTTGCTGATGATCTTTTTGTTTTAGTACCATTCAAAAGAACAGATAATAAGACAGTCATTGAAACCTTAGTTCAGGCTGAAATTGATCGTGTGTCTTTCTGGTGTAAAAAAAATCAAATGACTTTAAACGCCGATAAATGCTCATACACTTATTTTACTCTAGATCCAAAAATGGACCCTCATATCTTTCACTTTCTCTTGGCAGTCATCCTCTTTCTTTTGACAATGACCCTAAACTATTAGGTTTACGTCTTTCGCACGGTCTTAAATGGTCTACCCACATTAGTGAACTTGCTTTGCTTTGCAAGCGTATGCCAGGAGCCTTAAATCGAGTATTCCGAGACGCACCACAAGCCGTTCGTCTGACTCTTTACAAGACTTGTGTTCTACCCAAAATTGATTATTGCTCAGCAGTTTGCGACTCGAACTTTTTCACACATCTTGCTCTACTAAATTCTCTTCAGAAGCTTGCGGCACGCATTATTACCAGAAACTTCGACTCTGAAACAGACAGTAGTACTCTCGCTACCCAGCTACGACTGCCTGATCTTAGAGTGCGTAGGCGCTATTTTCGGCTTGTCTCTTTTTACAAATTATATAACAACCTCTCTCTCCTTAATCGTCAAGAGTATATAACTGCAGTTAGAAACACGAGGTCACTTCGCCGTAGCACGAATTCTCAAGCGGTAGAAGTGCCTTTTACCACCTATGAGACGGTGCAGTCCTCTTTTTTCTGGAGAACTCATAAGAACTGGAATCCTCTATCAATGGAGCATATAGTCTCAAAACCGTCTCTCTCTGCTTTTAAAGATGCTCTCAAATTCTTTCTTCGAATGTGAGACTAATGATATTTTTTGTTTATCAATATTTGTACTGGTTTTTTTGTCTTGCTCTTTTGTTCTTCTCTTTACTTCTTCTCTTTGTTATTTTGTATGTTTTTCGATTCGTATGGTTTCATTTTTTGTTAGACATTAGAACTTTATTAACGTTTTGGCGAAAGTTATCACTGGTATTACGTATTTTGTTAACAAATTGTTAACAAACAATAACAGAAAAATGAAACCATAAGAATCGACTAACAATAACAACAATTAGCATTTAAAATTTCTATCGCTTGAAAAGAATGAGGTGCACCATTCTTTTCATCAAATACGATTTGTTTTCCACGTTTTTTCTCTGATAGAGAAAAGCTCGCTGCCACACAACACAAAATGTCCCATTATCTCGTACATCAACAGTCGTCTCCTCGCGTAAAACGATTAGTTAACAACTCATCACTATCACTACCGCCTTACTCAACTAATTCTCCACGGCTATCGCCATCTCTCAGGTCCATGAGAGAAGTAAGCCGATCAGTCAAAAATTAAAAATAATCCAACTGCATCTCTCTTTAGAAGCAGCGCCGCCGACACACTAGACCTAGTCAACCTTCGTCTGTTAGAGTTGACTTGAAAAAATTACCTGAGATCAATGGCGGCGATGGCAAGCTGTAACTTGAACCACCACCACTCATGTCAGCTTTAATCTTTTTCTCTTTTTGCATTTAGTACCGTCTGCCGTAAATGTCTAATACTGACTTTGATCTTACTTTTAACTGCAGCCTTTGTTACCGCACTTACAGTTGGATTAGTTTACGGTTTGAACCATCAGACAGCAGGTACACGTAACTAAGAGTGAATTTCATATCTATAACACGTGAAATTTCTTCCTTACAGATAGTACGACGAGTACTACTGCGACCGGTTGTAGCGCAACATCATCGACACTAAACACAACGGGTGAGCGAATTTAAAGAGTGTGAGAGGTCAGGAATTAGTTTTTGTCTTCGAAGACAGTTTTCTCAAATTATCAACCATGCCAATTTCGTTTCTTAACACGATTTGTCCCCTTAGTTAATGTTTGAAGGGTTTTACAGAAAACCGACGTCTGGAAATTCGGATTATAAAAGAAACATTGCTTATCCCGCCATCAAAGAGTGAGTCTTGCTGATGAGGAGGATTTGTTGAGACCTTAGACTAAGAAAACTTTTCTCTAGGATTTCATGCGTCGCGGACGACGACGTTAAAGATACTTTTCGAGTTTTTGAAACCTTAGTCCCGTAAAGCCCACAAGTTTCAGCGTATACTCAGTTTTTAATGTCCTACCAGATGGTTAGCTCAGAACAGAAGCCAGTTTTGTCGAAAACCCTTGGAAAACTCATTGAGACGACAAACCGGGGTCATTTCCAGACTCAGTATGGTCGATAACCTAGAAAAAAACTGTCTAGGAGGTAAAAGGCGATTTGTCAGTTGGGGACGGTTTCCTCGTGAGTCAAGGATTTTTTTATAATCCAAGTGAGTGTTTGATGTCGATTTCAACCATTTTCTAGGCCAGTCCTCGTCTATCTGCACAAATGGAACTTCTACTCTATATAACGATGAATTTATCGTTTCTCCAAATCGTTTGTATGCTGCTGGGTTGTATAACAATAGTTTTGGTGTTTACAATACGGCGGCATTTGGTTGTAATTCTACAGCGATCTGGTCAGCCTCTCAATCGTCAGCACCCGCGGGTGCCTATGTCATCGCACAAAATGATGCAAACTTGGTAATTTATGGAAGTACGAGCGGTCCAGTGTGGGCAGCAGGTACAAATCATGGTCAGAATGATGCTCCATACTGTTTGATTATGTTGGATAGTGGAAATCTGATTTGGGTAGAAGGAAACTCTACAGTGATGTGGCAAACAAATACTGTACAAGGATGAGAAAACAAAGAAATAGCTCACCGAACTGAATTGTGTGTTTAATGATAAAAGACTGAATAAGCCGGTATGAGACGTGAGGAAAAAAAAATGGATTACACTGAAAGTAGAAGCTTTTCACGATTTTCCGAAGTGAACCATTTTTTTTCATAACCTCATTTTTTGACGTAGATCGAAGCCCCTAAAAGGAAATATAGGTCAATTATTATCGATGAATAGGTACCAAGTCGTGTCGCAGATTCAACTGCGTTTAAACAACGAAGTGACAGTCAGCAGCTATGCGGCAGCTCTAAGTGATGGACGTGGTTTGAGAGTTGGACTGACGTATCGAATTGTCGATTTAAAACGTTTTCATCGGAGAATGAAAGAAATCGTGTTGAATGAATCAGCACATCAACAGTCATTACTTTTCAATGAACATTTGAGGAAGAGGGGTGTAGACATACAAGTAACGTTCATTCTTCTGTTCTTCTGCTCGATCCCTTGACGTTTGGATTTATATGTGCCTTGCATGATTATAAGTGATATTGTACGGATTAATACAACGTGTCAATAACATGTTGTAGTCATCATCGGTTATATTGCCGCAGCAGAAGCGGTTCAACAACTGGAGATATTTGCCATCTTCTGTTCGCATTTGTTATGTGCCATAACAGCAGTATTCAGTTGTGAACACAGTGACTCCCCAACTGCACACTGAAGGGGCTTTAACTCTTTCAGGGTTTTACTTCTCTTGCATTTTGTGTAAATTGGTTTCTCTTGAGGTAAATTCATTTTGCTAAACAATGCCTTATCTCTTACGGGCAAAAAGGTCATGAAGTCCCCGAAAAAAACGACGTTGATACCCCGAAAGGCTTCAATAGATCGATGTGTTTTTCTGCTGTGATAACTCGGTGCAATTTTGATTTTATTTTAAAATAAAATTGAAAAATAAATAAATTTTGAATTTATTGATGCCAGTGGGTGCCAGTTTCGTAACAGATGTTTGCGATTCATGCCGATCACATACCGCGTGATGGCGTTAATTAACTGAGCCTTTCCCGTTCAAAAGTTTCGACACGGTCGAATTTTTACGTCTGTCGAAAATTTTTCGCTCGAAATTCGACAATGTCGAAAGCTTTCACTCGAAATCCAAAGAAAAATGATCCAAAAAGAAAGATTTAGTGGAAACTCTAGGAATGCATCTCCTTCAAGTCAAGTTTTACGGAGCCGTTTGCCTACGTGTTTCTGGGTTCGGGTTAATCCATAGAGAAAAAAGGTTCGTGACGAAGCATAATACTAAGAATAATCAAGATGGCGAGCGAGAGACTGACGAGAAACTCGAACAGCTTTTCCTCCTTCTTACCTCTTCTAATATATGTTCTTCAAGTTCTAGGTTTAAATTTAATTTTCTATCATTAATAATTCTTGAATACTTCCATCGATCATGTAGCGCACTTTCATTCAATTCAATGTATTTTGATAAATGATTTCTAAGCGTGAAATTTGTATCGCTAATGCCAGTCATACCCATCATACATGCATTTAGCAGACAATTACCTTTACCTATAAGAAGAAATAATTTTATTGCATTTCTGAAGCAGTAAATAGCCATCAGAATCCAAAACTTAGCAGCTTATCGGCTGTTTTTGATGAATATAATGGCACCACTGTACTACACCAATTAATTATTTTAGCTTGTTCCAAACTCTTCTGATCATCACATATGTAATGTCCAAATGCTTTAATACTGTATCGTCAGCACTTATAGTTGTTGTGTATGTGGCTGAAACTGGTGGATCTAAGTGTAATGATATAAAGGTTTCTAATGCATTAACAACTCTATCATTGTTGCGAAATAACTTGTCATACTCGGCGTACGAGTACAGACTCGAGCCCAGATACATCCGCTGACACCAGTCGAGTTTTAACGAAGATGTTCAATCTAAATTCAAGCAGCGAAACAAGAGATCGATTCACAGACTATTGCTTTTCGAAAAACTAATGAACGGCCTGGCCAAAAGTAACGGAATTACATTCAGACAGCTTCCACGACTTTTTACACGGATACCCCTCAACAGATAAGACAAACATCTTTTTACAACTTTAACTCCAAAAAATTTAGATTTGTTGACGACATCCAAAGTTGTAGCGAAAAATAGATGTTGTAATGGGATTACACAACAGAGAATATTTTTCTCCTTGCTCTTAGAATTATTCAGAATTCGCCGAAGTCACACATTATTACTATTCTTCTTTTTAGCAATACACTTAAAGAAAATATCACTAAAACACCATATACCATACACCATCGTACTAGCTACGTAGAAAACAATGTTGTTTTTGTTAATCAAACCATAAGATATTTTTACATTTATGTGTTCAAGTATTTCACGTCTTTTTCTAACAAATTAAATTATATTCTCATTAACATTAAAACAAACAATGATAAAAAATGAATCTATGTACTTATCGAGTTCACAATAAAACTGTTTCATTATTACTACAGTAGATCGAACGAAGACGATAGAAGATAGTATCATTTTTCTGGAAGAACAAATAGTAAGATATTAACAGCATGGTACACTGTATTTATACTATACTTTTGAAAAATGAATACAACTTTATGCCCAGAATATGCTATTATGCTATTGCCACATTCTATTGGTGTCAACTAGAGCTTCATCTAGAACTAATTTCAAAATGCATAAGCACTTCGAAAGTTAAAGCAAATTCACACTATGTAATGCAAAACCTTCTGTGTGAAACAGCTTTTCGAACTCACTCTCACACTACTCTTCCCCTCTCTCCCCCAATACCCACCAGAAATTACCTGAAATATCCAAATTTATATGGGTAGGTCTATTGAAACCCCGAGGGCGGCAGCAACGAACTATTTATAGTTCCAAAACTGGCAGCACGAAGCTATTGACAACTCATCAAACTGGCAGCAAAGACCTATTCACAGTCCAAAATGCACTTGTACGCTGCACAAATGTGTTATTCAATAAAGACCATCATCTCCAGACAATATGGAAGTATTCTAGTGGCTCACTCTCATGCACAGCCACCCCATCCACCCGAAATCGCCTGTCATAGACCGTCAAATTTAGAACTAATTCAGCATAACACTTTGAATAACACATTTATGCAGTGTATAAGTACACTTTGGACTGTCAACAGCTCTTGCTGCCAGTTCGATGGGGTGTCGATAGCACTGAAGAGTTTAAAAGTAACCTTGAACGGTTAAAAGTTGACAGCTTTTAACAAAAATTGAGTTGATTTATAAATCTATCCTTGTACAAGAAAGAAAAAAAAGACGACATAAGACGTTTAATCAAGATTTGACCAAAATGTTTGGTGATGTTGGTCTGGCAGAAGAAGAAAGCAATAGTGAAGGTAATGAAAGTACTCCAAAGAAGCGACCGATGATGACGGTAGCAATGACGACTACAACATCGATAATATTCTTGGTCCTCTATTTGTTGAAAGAACACAGCCTTTCTTTTCTTGTTTGGTGTGTATTTTTATGCAGAAACAATGTAATTCTGTTGCAAACTGGGTTATAAAAGATTGACTGAATAAAAAGCTGCAATCTCCCTATGTTCACTTATAAATCTCAACCCGATTTATAAATCAACCGGGATTAAACATTTTAATTCAAACTATTTATAATTTATAGTATTATTTATAGTATATTTATTAGTTATATGACCACTCCCAGTACTCCACAACTTGTTTTCAAAAAGTTATGAATCCTTGAAGTTTCTCCTTCAAAACCTAAAAAGCTCAATTTCATAAACTTTTTCTTACACATAGTCTGATAGAAGAAAGTGTTTTCTTCACAATGAGGCATTTTACAGAATTTTCCGATGAGTTTTCGCGGAGATATAAGCATCGCGGCAAATGCCCCAAATCAGTTTTTTCTCGAAAATAATTTTTGCTACTAGGCTGCATTGTGCCACATTACGACCCCCTTGAAATTTCATCCGATCCAGTGTTACCGGGTTCCTCACTTGCTCCTGTATTTGATGATGGTTAGCACTGTTCCTTAAACATTTTATTTAAAATTTTAATGAACAGCACCTTACAGTGCGAATGTAAAAACTCTTTCTTCTATCAGACTATGTGTAAGAAAAAGTTTATGAAATTGAGCTTTTTAGGTTTTGAAGGAGAAACTTCAAGGATTCATAACTTT